CACCCTGCAGCCAGGACCTTGGGCCGGAGCTGGCACAGGAGTGGATGAGGTGACCCCGAAAGCCCCCAAGTCTCTCAGCGTGCACAGAGGCAGGAGGTCTGCAGCTGGACAAGGGTCCCTTTCGTTTCCTCCTTCCTCTCTGTCGGGAGGAGAAGATCGGGCCCGTCTGGGCGTATAGACAGCAAACTGTAGAATTTGGCAGTTAGGGGAGGAGAGGAGAGCCTGTTTGCTTGGTGTGGACCTGTCATCTGGAGCACTGTCCCCGTCACAGTCACCAGCTATGCCGTGCCACCTCCCCTCCCCCCAGGCAGCTTCACCGTCATTCCCAGTGGGTGTCTGAGAGCCCACAGCCACAGGTGGGGTGGGGGAGGTGGGTAGTTACCAGCCAGCTTTTCATCTCCTCTGGGCTGTGGCATCCAGGCCTTGGACTTTTCTGTCCCTGGGCCAGGAGCGCCCGTGTTTGTAAATCACATACCTGCTTCTGCTGCCCCGCTCCCTGAACCTGCCTGCAGCCCCCCAGGCACCAGCTCCATCCCCCAGGGCTGCTTCCCTGCCAGTTCCTGCTGCGTGTTCACAAACTCTGCACGCACACACGTGCACGCGAGCAGGCTCTGGGGTGGGGGATATGTTACAGTGGGGGACATAGAAGCTGAGCCCTCTTTGGGTAGGGAGTCAAGTCGGTCCTAGTCCAAGACCATGGAGGAGTGCAGGACTCACGGTGCCAGAGCTGGTGGCCCAGAGCAGAGGGTATGCACGGAGTGACCCTGGCACTGCTCTGCCTGGTCCTGCAGTCCTCCCCGCTAAGACTCAAGGTCTGCAGACTCTGGATCTAAGATGATGCAAGTCTGGGTCTTCAGACCCTGGAGCAGAGCCAGGGAGACTGGAGCTCTTCCAGGGGAGGGGGCTGGTGGGTGGGTGGGGTGCCAGGCTGAAGCAGATCTGAGCTGTCAGCATTTCCCCCTCACCCAGGAGACAAGGCCTCCTCGGCCAGGGCAGTGGCAGAGAAGTTCCCTTGTTCTCATCCCAAGCTCGGGGGTCCTGGCAGCGACTCTGACCTCTAGTGTGAGTCCAGGGGAGACCTAGAAATGCAGTCATTGGGGGGACCAGCAGGTGGCATGGTGGTTAAGGTGCTGGACACTCCCATATGGCCGACCAGGGTTCGAGTCCTGAATCCTGGCTTGCTTTCTCACTTCCTCTCTCTCTCTCACTCTCAACCTCTGTCTCCCTCTGGTTATATTAAAAAAAAATATGAATGAATAAATGAAATAAAATAAATAATTATTAAAAAAAAAAAAAAGAAATGCAGTCATTGGAATGTCCTCTCCCTCCCAAGCTTGCCAAGCACCCCTCACCCCGCAGGCCTCCTGCCTTCCTTGCCCCACCCCTGCCTGGGTCCCTCCTTTCAACGACCCTTCCCTGTGACCTCCTGGACTCCCAGTGGGTGTCCTTCCACTTAGATAGTGTCCTCCGGCTGCCCTGGGTCTCTGGGCCTTGGGGCACCCCAGTTGCATGATTTGCTGCTGCTAAAACACTCACAGTGGCAGAGCAGCCTCCATCCTGCCCCGGCCTTGTCTGCACGACCTCACTGAACCCTCTACCAGCCCTACTAGTATCCCCGTTTTGTGGGAAAGTGGAGGTGCAGGGGTTGAGGAATTTTCCCAAGGACACAGAGCCAGTGGGTGGTGGAGGTGGGATTCAGGCTGCACGCTGGTGGCAGAGTCTGCTTGGATGAGCGGAGGGTGCAGGTGCAGGGAGGGGCGAACGGGCTCAGGGCCCCTCAGGCTGTGCTCTAAGGGGAGCTGTGCTCTAAGGCTTGGGGTGGGAATTGGGGTGGGAATGCACCGGTGTGGGGCCGCCCTCCTCTCCTTGGGAAAGTGCTCCCTCCACTCCCCGAATTCTCACTGCTGCTGCAGCTCTGCTGTGGTTGGGGTACCAGTTCAGGGAAGCCAGATGTGAGGCCATGGGTGCTGTGGTGAGTGAAGGAGCCTGGGAGCCATGGGGTGCTGGAAGCAACCCTCCTCTCTCCTGGGAAGCCCCAGACCATGGAGGGGGTGCAGTCGATAGCAACAGATGAGCCTGAGTAGGCCCTGGCCATGGGGTGTTGTCAGTTTCTGGTCGCCAGGCGGCCAGTCAGTCAGCTTTCAGCCATGACCGCCTGCCTGTTAGCTGGGCCCTCAGCTGTGTCCCCTGCACGTGAGTGGACAGGCCTTTCTGTTGGGGGGCTGGTGCAGCCCCCGTCAGCTGGGGGGAACGTGGTGCAGGATCTTTTTGTCTCCAGAGGAGTGGAGGTAGGCAGTGGGGAGGGGCCTCTCGAGAGGTGGCACAGACGCTGTGGGCGCGGGGCAGGTGGCGAAACTGCTGATGGTGCCCACTGGCCTGTGGTGCTGCTGGTGGTGAGGCCGTGCAGTTGGCACCGTGGCAGTGGTGGCCGGGGCGACGGTAGTGCGTGTGCTCGTGGTGGTAATGGTGCTGCTGCTGCTGCTCCTGTGAGGGGTCTTCAAAAAGTTCATGGAAAACACCTATTCTGAAAAAACTATGCATGAATTTTGATGTTCTTTTTTTTTTTTTTTTTTTCTTGAAAATA